TACCTGGGTACTGTATTTAAAATACAAGTAACAAAAATAACTAGTAAATAAGTAAAATATATTATATTCGTAATATTTTTTTTAATATTGCTGCAATATTGCTAAAGTAATATTGCAAATTAATATCACTGCAAAGTCTCTGCAACATCCCTTATAGAAATATCATGCTAAGAATTATTGACAATTACTTATTTTCAGTATTTTTAATACTGAAAATAAGTAATTATTAATGATTCTTAGTATGATATTTCTATAAGGGATATGCAATCTTGCAACGTTGTAGCAATGTTATTGCAAGCTTCTGTGCTGTATGGGCATTGCTGAGACCTCTCCCAGGTAGTAGACTTACGTCAAAATGACATCCAAATCTAATAAGTTCAGGATCAAAAATAACCAAGGAATGACCAAAAATATCGTAAAAATATCGTCAAAATAATGGTCTAATGTCATAGACTGATGACGACATTTTAGACGACTTAATGACGTTTTATGACGTCTCTAAACGTCAATAATACGTTTTTAAGACGTTATACAGAAACATCATTAAGATTTCACAAAAAAGACGTTTTAAAGACATTATCCCCTTATAGAAATATCATACTAAGAAATACTGAAAAATTATTAGTGATTAAATATTACCAGTAATTCAGTAATTTTTTGGCCAGTGCTTAATTTCTGGTGAATACTGATAATAAAATCACTGTTAAATATTAATAGTAATCAAATACTGAGAATTATTATGCAAAGGTGAAAAATGAGAAAATCATAATGTTTACAAAAATATACTTATATTCCTAATTTTCTCATGTCTCATAAACTACTAGATATTGAAGGTTGTCAACATATTTCAAACTTTCATGAATCCTCCTGCAATAATTTCGATCCCAAGCGGTATACCGCTGGTCACCCTTATAGAAATATCATACTAAGAATCATTGATAATTATTTATTATCCAGTATTTTTAATACTGAAAATAAGTAATTATCAATGATTCTTAGTATGATATTTCTATAAGGGCACCCATCCATGTTCTGACCGCATTAAACTGTTGCTTAAACCTGACGATCGGCGCGCACGCGGTGACCCCTTAAGAAATATCATACTAAGAATCATTGATAATTACTTATTATCCAGTATTTTTAATACTGAAAATAAGTAATTATCAATGATTTTTAGTATGATATTTCTATAAGGGGATACAAATGCATACGTATCATTTCAGTCAAACCTGAGAATGTACGCACGCGATAGAAAAGCATACGTATCATTTCCGTATCCCTGAGTGAAATCTGAGAGAACATTCTCGTGAAAGAAAACCGAATAATACTATAGGTTTGTTCTTTCGACCTGACCTAGGGCTGCACTGGAACTGTACTAGTTGAAGAAAGTTCAAGATAGTGCAGACCAGTGCAAAGATACATATGGGTCTGAAAAGAACGGGTAAGAGCAAGTTAGAGCAGTGTAAGATGGCGGACAACATGGCTGGATTAAATAACATAGATCAATTTATG